AAAAGATAAATTGTTTTAGCTAGATGTAACCTGGAGTCTCAATGCACGTCGGACATTTTTAATTGATGTAAGTTTGCAGCCTAAATTTAACCAAAAAGAATGTTGAAAGAGCATTAAATGTTAAACTATAGAAATTTCATTTCCTGCAAAAATGCAGTGTGAATGCTTGTTGAAAAACAGCTGAAATTAGCTAAACCATGCAGCATTGTAGCTAAAATGGAACAACAAGCCTAAATTAGCAGAAGAAAGCAGAAAGACATATTAGCTGGATTAGGTTTAAATAAACAGAAATAAGCACAAAAATAGGAAATTATAAAAAAAATAAAGGCTGAAATTAGCAACAACAACAACAACAAAAAAAAAAAACCACTGAAAAGTAGCTGAAAATGCAAAAAGAAGCTTACTGGAAGGAAGACGAAATGAGCTTTTAAGAAATGTGGAATTAGCTGAAAAAGCTCAAATTAGCTGAAATAGTATAGGTGAAAGAGCAGAAAGTTTAAACGTGCAGAAAAATAGCTGAAACGAGCAAAACAAGCTGAAATTAGTATAAATAAGTTAATTAGGCTGAAAGCAACAAAAATTAACATGTAAAATTTGAATATATCTGAAAACAGCTGAAAGTGGCTAAAAAATGCCAAAAAGCTAGCTGAAAATGTAGAACAAGCTTAAAATAGCAGAAGAAAGCAGAAAAAACACTGTCCAATTAGGCTGAATGAAGCAGAAATTAGCACAAAAAAAGTGGAAATTATCAGAAAAAAAAGCTGAAATTAGCACACCCGTACAAAAACAGCTGAAAAATAGCTAAAACTGCAAAACGCTTAAATTACTAGAAGGAAGTGGAGAGAGCACATTTTAGCAGACTTAGGCTGAAAAAAGTTGAAATAATTTGCAAAAAAAAAAGTGGAATTAGCTGAAAAAGCTCAAATTAGTATAAACAGCTAAATAGTAGCTGAAATAGCAGAAAAGGCTGAAACTTGCATAAATAAGCTGAAAGGAACATAACAAGCTGAAATTAGCAGAAAGAAGTTAGACGCAGCACAAAAATGTAGTTAGCAGAAAGAATTTGAAAGGAGCACTAAACAGCTGAAATCAGCTGAAAGTATCTGAAAAAAAGTTAAAATGTGCACAAGGAAGCTGAAAGAAGCTGAAGCAGAATAAAATGTGAAAGCAGCAGTAAAAGGTTGTAAACAGATCTAAATATTTGAAGGATGTAAAATGAGCTCAATTCATTTTCTGTGAGGAAAAAATTTGCAGAAAAGGCTAAATATTTCAAAAAGCCAAAGTTGCATTAATACCAAAAGTCTCAGCAGGATTGTCGTGAAAGAGCTGAACGTTTTGAAATATGATTTGTTGAAATAGAGCAAAAATTGTGGAAGGAGAAAGATGCAGAAAAATGTATGGAAGAAAAATGGTTCACAATAGTGTGTATGCTTCATAAACATTCACACTGTTAATCTCACCTTCTTCAACCTTGTGAAGCTCATTAATGTGACTCTGGTCCCAACCTGCAGTATTATTCTAAAACGTGCTGGTCAGTCCATCTGGAACACAAAAATAACCAAAAACTAAATCTGAGCTGAACTGAGTTGTAACAAAACCTCCAACACTGCCCTCTGGTGGACACTAACCCTAAATGCACCCGTACATAAAATCAAACAGTTCAGCTTTCAAAATGTAACTACCGGTACTTTCCTTCCCATGCGCATAACCCATCTATGTTGAACATGTAAATATTTATAATACATCAATATAACATCAAATGTTCCAATTAGACACAAAAAACATTCAAGTTTCTTCTAGCGCAGAGGTAAAGTGTGCTGAGCCACAAGGCAAAGGACGTGAGCAATTTGTATGTAACGCATGACTCCCAACTTCGCAGGCCAGGATCCCAGCCGTCTGCTTGGACCCGGTCCGTAAACAAGATCTAATTTCTGAAATTGACGTGTTTGAGGCAAAGTTCCCGTGCCTCAGAAGCAGCTCAGTGTTCCAGGGCTTGGCACAGGCGAGCAGAGAAACTTGGATCTGAACTCGAGGCCGAAATAATACAGTAAAAACAACTAAAGAGAAATAGGGAATAACCTTTCAAACAAAACCAGTTCTGTATTTTGGGAGTTATAATAGAGAAAAAGTAGATTTTGGTCAATATTAGAACATTAAATTTGATCATACTGCAGTTTGATTATTTATACATTTCAACGTTTCCACAAAGAGGAAAAAAAGTCAGACAAAAGCTGAACCGTTCCCCCTGAGGATCTGTAAACCTACTGGCAACTTGCTCCTGTGTTTGAAAATCCGTTTTTACAAAACACGCAGGCTGACCTGTAAAACTGCGTGACACGACTTTAGGTAGCAGTTTGTGGCACAGTGGAGAGCAAATTCACAAAAACGCTGGAAATCCCTTCATGGAAATCAATGGGATTTTGGCGAAACATGAAAGCAGCCCTCTGTGGAGCTCTTTACATCCAACAGCCTTCACAGGAAACTTTTCAAGTTGACTTGGGTCACAGCAAGTGTTTGGACTTCACGTTTGATTACTTTTTTAGTTTATAACTTGTATAATCTCCTGCAGTGTGGGCTGCACACAGGTCCTAAATAATAATATTTTAAAATTACTAAAAAATTCCATGCAGTTCGTGCAGCTCGTCCATCAATCAGCCAATTGTGTGTCATGTTCAATCTTTTTTTGAAAAACCGTGACAGAGCGAGTCGGCGAAAACCGGACCACGAAGTAGCGAGGGACTACCTTATTACAAGAATAACGTTATATGAGAAAGTTGAAATATTACGAGAATAAAGTCGTAGTATTACCAGAATAAAGTTGTAGTACTACGAGAATAAAGTTGTAGTATTACCAGAATAAAGTTGTTCTCAATTAGAAAAACCACAACGTCAGAGACGCCGTGCTTGCCAAAAGTTCAACTCCTACTGGATCCAAAATCTTGATGACCATCCTCAGTGTCTGCTGAGAAACAATCAAATCTGTTTGAATGGCCCTCAGATGTAACCACCTATAACCATGCAGTCGACCACTGCCAGAAAGCTCCTCTTCCACAAAAGAATCAATATCTTCCAAATGCGTGTGGTTCTTTTTTCGAAACAGACAGTCGTTTGCACAATTGTTTCAAAGTCCTGATAATGATAATAATCTGATGCTGATGTGCTAACAGATTATTTCCTTATTTGTAAAACCAATACCAAAGTATAACTTAACAAGATGCTCAATATTCATCATATTACCACAGTTGTGAGACAGATTTTTCATATCAGAGTTCTGATATTATTATTACTTTATTCTGGTAAGATTATGAGTTTATTCTGGTAATACAACTTTATTCTGGTAATATTACAATTTTTTCTCATAATATTTCGACTTTATTCTCGTAATACGACTATTCTCGTAATACGACGTTATTCTTGTAATAATACGTTCTCGTACGACTGTTCTTATAATATGACTATTCTCGTATGACTTTTCTCGTATGACTATTCTAATATGACGTCATTCTCGTAATACTATGTTATTCTTGTACGACTTTATCGTAATATTTTATTCTCGAATGACTATTCTCGCAATATTTCAACTTTATTTTGTACAACTTCATTCTCGTAATATGGGAGGGAGGTATAGGGGAGTGGTGGCGCAGAGGTTAGAGAGGTGGGCTTGTGATCCGAAGATCGCCGGTTCACGCCCCGGCAACATCAAACGAAATTGTGGGTGGGGTAGGTGAAACACCCACACTTGCCCCCACCCTCAATCGCCCCACTCTGGGCCAATGAGCAAGGCCCTTAACCCCACCATGTGCTCCCTAAACAGGTCTCTCTTGAAAATGAGTTCTCGTGGCTCAATGAGACTAACCTGGATAAATAAAGGCTAAATGAAAAAAAAAAAAAAAAAAAAATGTTATTCTCATAATACGACTTTATTCTTGTAATAATACATTCTCGTACGACTATTCTTGTAATATTTTGACTTTATTTTCGTAATATTTCCACTTTATTATCGTATGACCATTCTTTTAATATTTCAACTTTATTTTCAAACAACTTTATTCTCTTACTATGACGTTGTACTCGTAATATGTTACTCTTAATATGACTATTCTCATAATACGACGTTATTCTCGTAATACGTCATTCTCTTAATATATTTTTATTATCAATATAAAATATAAAAAAAACTATTAATATTTTAGCTCATTTAGTCATTGTAAAAAAAAATCCGAAATAATTTATTGAATTACATTCATCACATTAGTTACTTCTATGGTTTCAAACGTGAACAAGGTTAGCAGATTTAAAGACCAGCACCTGTACAGTACATATACATGTTGTTACAGTTATGTAGGTTTAATTGTTTATAACACTGCAAGATTGTGGGAAAGGTTTATAAGACCTTAAAATATATAAAATACTAAAATAAAAATGGCGTTCTTACTTCACGGTGGTGTGGGGAATGCAACCCCCGTGATAATGGGAGGGACTACTGTAAAGCACTTTTCTTCCACTGTATTGTAAGACTTGTGGCTGACTCACAAATCTCCCAGAATGCTGATGGCACGTGCAGGCTTCCATACTTTTCAGCTTTCTGGTCCAAGACTAAGCTCTGACACCCCCCCACCCCCACCCCAACATTGTCAGTTTCTATCTGACTCTTAGCCATCAGTGAGTGACGGTCAGACGTAGTTACCATGGTAACCTCAATAAGTCACTGGTTATTAACATTTTGGATCTTTACTCCCCATTATAAATCATTTTATTCTATTGAAAGATATAAAAAAAAAAAACAGTCCAGTCTGTACAAGTTGGTTACAAACAGGAAAAGTCATCAATTAAATATGTCGTATATGAAACCCAACAAGGGAAATAAGCTAAAGACAACTCTAGCTTTGTTTAGTCGTTATATCTAATGTTAAAAATGAACAAGTTGTGTTTCTGACAAGAATCAAGTGATTTAATTGCTACAAAACTAAATGGGCATTAAAAATGTTTCAGTTGTACTTCAAAATTTTGTCCATCTCAGCTGCAACAAAGGATTACAAAACAAAAACTACAAAGCAGGAACATGAAGTTATTTTCCTTATTTATTGCTGCTGAAGTTCGGTTTAAAAACTAGAGCATGTCGGCCTGATGATGTAGCTACAAGTCCCATTTAATGCCCTCTTAGTGGACACAATCTATACTTTAAGAAAAATTAAAAACTACTGTACAACCAAATGAAAAGATGCTCCAAGCTTCACTTCTTGCTGGCGATCCTTTTCGACCGCCTCGGAGCTGGACCTTCCGCGGCTCCTCGTCTCCTGCTGCGTGACGCCGGCAGAGTCTCGGACGTCTCCTTTTTAATATCCTCCGCTTGCGACGCCGTTTTCGGGGCAGCTCCTGCAGGCTTTCGTCTCCTCCTCTCAACCCGTTCAGACTCCTCGCCCTCCTCCATCTTCCGTTCTCCTGGAGCTGGTCTTAAAGTCGTCGATTCTGACGAAGATCTGGGCTTTCGCTGCTTCTCTTCTGGTCTCATCCCCGAAGCGTCTTTCGTGCTCGTTTGTTTCGATCGGATCGTTTTGGGTTTACTTCTGGTTGAGGGACCACGGATTGTTGCCGGTTTAGAGTTTTCACAAAGTTTAACCTCTTCTCCTCCTCCATGTTCCTCGAGATCTTCCGGTTTTTTCAGGGAGTTACACACCTCCTTTAAAGTACACAGATTCCTCTAAAGGCAGTCCATCTACCAGTCGATGTCCAAATATTACTTTTCAAATTAAAGTTCACTCACCGCTTTTTGCTGTAGGAGTTCAGATTTTAACTCTGCCAACTGCTTCATCAGCTCCCGGATCTTTAGCTTAAAATATAAAAAATAAATTAGATGCAATAGTTTCACAAAGACATGGTTCACGTTGAAGACTTTACCTCTTCACAGGCAATTTGTTTTTCCAACTGCTCTCTTTTATCAGCCTTTTGCCTTAAAAACACAAAAGAAAATCGATGGGAAATAGGTTTAAGTTGCACTCATGACTCCGTACGGAGCCCTGTAAGTGCCCATGTATACAAAAAAAAAAACAAAAAAAAAAAAAAAAAAAAAAAACAATTCTCAGCTCATTAAACTAAACATGGATTTTCAAAAAGACTTCTAGTTCATTGAAACAGGATAGAGGCATTTCTTAAAATCAACACCCACACATGGGTAAATTATATCAAGGGTCAACAGCCCATTGAACATGTATATATATATATATATATATAAAAAAAAAAGATTTCCTTTAATGTACTCTATAGACTTAAACTTCTCTCTGAATGTTGGAAACAAGAGTTCCGGGGAAAAACTACGTCTGAAAATAGTTTCTCAATAGTTTCACAGTCACGTATCGGTAGGCACAATTTATATTTGAGTGTAATAATTTAGTCTGTGTCACTTATAAACTGCTAAGTAGGTGGTAAATTACTCCCTACCCTCCCTCCTGAGGGTTCTTTGAGTCAGTATTGATCTGGTTCACAGGATCCTATTGTCACATGCATGGAGGCAGCAAAGCTCAAATAACTTCCAGACTATAAGCCGCTACTTTTTTCACACACTTTGACCACTGCGGCTTATACAACGCTGCGGCTAATTTATGTTTTTTTTTTTTTTTAGACAGGCTAACAAGCTTCATGCTGCCAAAATATTTAGCCTCGTCACACCTGGGCCCTCGCATAGCTGCCCAGTACACATCACTCTTGGGGGGGGGGGGGTGGGTCTTCGTGACTCATTGTGACTACCTGTATATATAAAAGTAAAAAAAATATATATACATATATATATAACCAATGAAATCAAACAATTTACCATTCTCTTGAAATAAGTGTGCAATGTGCATTCCAACAATTTTCAGTCAGGTCATCTGGACGGTTTTATTATTTTTTTTGCTGAAATGTTTGATCCATCCAGAAGGCTTTATCAGTCAAGGAAACACAACACAAAACTGATTCTTTCTTTAAAACACCTTACTCCAAAGTGGAACAAACCAGTTATGTTGGTGCTAAGACGGTATCTTTGGCACACCCCCTCTTCTGGACCCGACCCTCTTCCTCGTCGACAGTCATGTCAAACTGGTTCAAAACCAAAAAAGAAACTGTCCAGATGATCTGACTGAAAATTGTTGGATTGTAAACCTGGATTTTTGAGCATGGACTTTTTGCATTGTTGTGGCACTCCGAGCTCGGTGGGAGGTTTGGATGAATGGTGGTGAGAAACCGTTTCCAAAGACTGGCCGCATGGGAAGAGCAACTTTTGCTCCAGTCTGCCAGTGGATCGTGACAGCGGAGCAGTGTTAAAAAAAAAATTAAAAATAATCCTCTATGGCCAATGGGTCTTGAAAGTCTGCTTTCTGCATGATGAATACAACAGAACAGCACAAGCTCAAGGGTGCAGTGTGCAGCAAGAGCATGAAGATGGCGATCAATGACTTCCTAGTAGGCTACTGTATTTATTTTTGCCAGTTGTGTTACAGGAATTGTTTAGAAAAAAACTTTACAGTACATGTGTGTGTTACTACTACATATTTAATTAAAAGTGGAAATAAAAAAATTGTGTACATATCTCATGTTACGTGGACACCCGCAGCACGGTCCATACATTTACAAATTTTATTTCATTTGTTAAATTTAGTGGACACTGCTTATATTCGGGTGCGCTCAATAGTCTGAACATTACGGTAAACTCTTCATTAGAATCTAATGAAACTCCTCAGAATGAGACGCAAAACAAAAAAGATCCATTTACGTTTGAATAACGAACGTCGGTTGTGAGAGGAGTTTTTCTGGACTGGAACTGAACAGGGAACGCAAGTTTTTGGTGCAACACCTTCAAATGGGTAAGCGTTACACTGGAGGGGAACAGAGGTCAAGTGTTTTTTCCCTCCTCACTCTGCTCCTCGAAGGAATGCCGGGAACAGTTTGTGGCCGCGTTAGGTTTGCTGCTTCTGGATGCTCGCACATAAAAATGGACGATAACAAACTCATTTTTCTCGACTTTCAGGAAATTTGTGCATCCGTAATTAATTAACCTTTAAATCTTCAACAAAAGCTGCAGCACGCACACCGTTAACTTTGTCTTTAAATCCTTGCACTTATTGGGTTTCATAAATTCAAAACTATTCCGTTTACTTATATAGCACCAAATCGCAACAACGTTGTCTCAGGGCACTTTACAGGAACATTCACATGCATAGAAAAGCCAATTAGTAAAGTTCTCCATCTAAGGAAGAAGCATATAATAGAGAAGCTCTAGTAAATCAGACTAAAAACCTGATTAGACATTACTTTTTTGCAGCCCTCTTCTTGAGCTGATCAACCCTTTTCTTCTTCTCCACCATCAAGTTGTCGACGTCTTGCAGCGTTATCCCAGCCAGAAGAGACATCAAGTCCAAACCCTCGACCTCCGTCAAAGGGGACGTCTTTCTGTGCACCACTGTTGCCCACTTTGTTAGGTCTTCACAGGAGGGGAACTGATGGGGAGGGGGGTGCAGAAACACAGAAAGTTAAAGAGTTTCGCTTTCATTCAGAGGTTTGTGGACGTCCTGACTAGAAGGAGAGGTCTGGAAAGTCTTTTTTAAAGTAACCAAAAAAAAAAACACTGCAAGAAAATGTCAGTCCTGGCGTCAAGTCGTAGCTGCATTTGACTCCTCTCCTTTTAGAAGATCACAGCTTGTCGAACTGTTTTGGCGTCGCAGATTTCGTCGTCACACACCATGTTTGATTTTAAATCACGGAAGTCTCAAGACATTTGGTAAATTCCGTCAACCGTCAGAGCCGTTACCATCATACCTTCATGGCATTGTGTGAAGGTCACCATTGGGATCCGGTTTTCTTTTTGATATTTTTCAGCATCGTTCTCATTCCATAGTTTTTGTGCCATTTCAACAAAACGTTCAGCTCTTTCAGGGCAATCCTGCCATGACTTTTGGTATTGGTGCAACTTTAGCTTTTTGAAACATTTAGCCTTTTCTGCAAAATTTCCCACCCCCCAGAAAATGAATTGAGCTCATTTTACATCCTTCAGTTCTTTAGATCTGTTTACAACCTTTTACATTTTGTTCTGCTTCAGCTTCTTTCAACTTCCTTCTGCAAATTTAAAACTTTTTTCAGCTACTTTCAGGAAAGTTCAGCTTTTTTTTTTCTCCCCCCAGTCATTGTGTGTTCCTTTCAGATCATTTCTGCTCACTACAACATTTTTGTGCTGCTTCTAACATGTTTCTGCTAATTTCAGCTTATTTTGCTCTATTCAGCTTATTTCTGCAAGTTTCAACTTTTTCCTGCTATTTCAGCTACTATTTAGCTGTTTTAATGCTAATTTTAATTTTTTTTCCAGCAAATTCCACATTTTTTGCACTCATTTTAAGTTTTTTTTCCACACAAGTAAAAATGTGCTCTCTACTTCCTTTTGGTAATTAAAACTTTTCTGCCTTTTTAGCAACTTTTCAGAATTATATATATTTTTTTGATAATTTCAGCTTTTTAATTTTTTTTTTTTAGATAATTTCCACTTTTTTTGCGCTCATTTCTTCTTATTTCAGCCCAACTGAGCAAACGTTCTGCTTTCTTCTGCTAATTTAAGCGTGTCCCACTTTTTAAACTAGCTGTAGCATTTTTCATCTAATTTCAGCAGTTTTCAGATATATTCAAGTTTTTTGTGGTAATTTCAGCTACTTTCAGTTTAATTGCCGGTAACTTCTTTCTGCTAATTTCAGCTCGTTATGCTCATTTCAGCTTTTTTCTGCTAGTTTCAACATTTTCTACTATTTCAGCTACCATTTAGCCATTTTTAAGCTAATTATAGATTTTTCTGACAATTCCACATTTTTCAAGCTCATTTTAGCTCTTTCCACTTCTTTCTAGTCATTGAAGTCCCCCCCCCCTTTTTTCAGCTACTTAGCTAAAAAAAAAATAAGTTGAAATTGGCAAAAACGGCTAATTTCCTAATTTTTGTGTTAATTTCTGCTCATTTAAAACCTTAAAGCTGCAATTCTTCTAGTTTACAATTTAATATCCATCAAGAACATTCACTCTCAGAATATGAGCCAGGGACGACTCAGCTACCACCTCTTTGTTTCTTGCTCCACAGCAGATACCTTGTTGAGTTCATCCAGTGCCATCTCCCTGGAAGCATTAGCCAGCTCCAAGGCCATCGTTTCATTCTTCAGCTGCTTCTGCACCACCAGCAGATCTCCCTGAAAACATTTTCACACCGAGTCAGCGCATCCAACAGGACAGCAGCGAAACTTTAGGTATCCAAACGTTACCTGGAGTTTTTTAACGAGCTGTTCTTCCTTCATCTTTTTAATGAATTCCAAGTCACTTGGTGTGACCTCATAGCCCTTCATTCCTTTCAGCATGTCCTGAAGAGTAGCTAGTTTTTAAAAGCAAAGACAAGGAATCATTCCAGCACTTGTTTGTAAAAGTTTCATTACTGCAAGTTCAGTAAAAACCTGCAAACCATGTAAATAAAAGCACCTGCTCCAGTAAAGCTGCTATTAATAGCTGGACTGTGTTTGTTTGTAGGGTCAGCCTGGAAAAAACAGAAAAGAAAAAAAAGATTTGTTTAAAAAAAAAAAAAAGACATTTTGTAAATGGAGAGCACAAGAACAAACGTACGTCTGGATTACAATCTGGAGCCTGAGTCGTCTCCTCCGGCTCACTAAACTCCAGCTGCTTCCTTACAGAGGTCATCGGTGGAGTCCGAGGGATCTGTCGACCTGATGAGATGCGGTTTCCACATCGACTGAGTCTCAGAGTTTCAAGTCTGTCTGACATGCTTTCTCTTGGAGCTACGTAAACACACAAAAAAATTAAAACCAGTTTATCCAACAAGGTTAAGTCAGGTCCTCTGGACGGATTCTTTGTTGAAACGTTTTTTTTTTTTTCCCCCCACGTAACTGCACATATAACAGTGTTAAGTTAATTAAATACAGAAAATTGTGTCCTAATAATACCTCTGAGGTCGGACTGTATTTTAGTCCTGCCAATTTGAGTCAATATGTTAGTGGTGAACGCACTGATGTCTCTGTGGATCTTACTGGTTCCGTTTGGACGCAACTGTGATCATGCAGATGCTGCGTGCGATTAATGCAGCCGAGCCCGGCATCAGGGTTGCCAGATAAATTTTAAACGTCTTACCGCCTCCTTTTCAGTGCACATGTTCACCAAATAACACACCTCATCTTACAACACACTTACTCGGCACATATCACAGTTTAGGTTAAAATACAAATCGATTTAAAGAAACAGTACTAGAGTTCATAATTTCTTATGTGGCAACCCGAGTGACATTAAAAAAAACATCATTGTAAACTCACATTTTTTGTTTATTACAATAAACACTGAAAAAACACAAAAGTTTCCAGAGATTGTTCTCTTGTAAATAAGGCCTGAGTTTCTTGAAGGGTTTCATACTGAAGAAGTCTTTTGGATAAAAGACAACCTAACTTAACCATGTTAGATTTTTTTTTTTACCTGTATAGCATGCATTAGGACAAAACCAGTTTACTTAAAACACACACTAAACTTAATCAAATGAGTCTAGGACACTTTTAAACTAAATCTACAAATGAAGAAACATCCAAACCTGTTTGTAACTTCAGAAGGAGTTGTATGAACCTCCACCTTGTCAAACCTGCATTTTCTCCTGCTGTTGATTGGTAATCACCAGCTGACTGCTTTCAGCTGAGGCTGCTGTTCTCCTTCTGACCACTGGGTGGCGACAGAGGACCAGCAGCGCGTTGCATTTTATGCAGATTGAACACTTTAAACTACGTTATTGACAGGGTCATCAAGGTCAGCGACAGTTTTACTCCAGAGGATGAATTTTAATGAAACTCTCAACCAAGACTTATATGTCTACAGTTGATAAAATTTAGGACTGAAGCAAGCTCAAGCCAACTGACTTGAAGCTCAGAAATGGTTCCAAGGCAGTCAGTTTTACAGATGTTTGGCTCAAGTTGGGTGTGGTAGTAGCTAAGGATGATTCTCAACAAATGTTCAGAGCTCTGAAAGATTGCGCAATATCGTTCCTTGAAGCTGGAGATAACTGTCCACCTGTTAGCAAAATATCTTTTGAACCACTGGACACATTTTAATGAAACGTTTAGGAAATAATATTGTCCGTCCGTCCATCCCTTCCTCTATCTCGTTGTCTTGTTCTGGAGTCGGGTTGTGGGGGAAGCAGCTTGAGCAGGGAGGCCCAGGATCTCTGTCCACAGCCTCCTCTTCTTGTTCTTCCAGGTCTTCCATGAGGATTTTAAAGGCATTCTCAGGACAGCCAAGAGACATCGTCCCTCCAGCGTGTCCTGAGTCTACTCACGGGGCCTCCTCCCAGTTGGACATGCCTGGAACACCATCATTCAAGTGATACATCGTCCAAATTAGGTTGAACATTGTCACATTCTCCCAAAATCACATTTGAACTTTGTGTAAAAACATTAAATATATTAAAATGTCAGTTCTGACATGTAAAGTCCAAATTCCTCTGACCTTAACCCTTAAATGTTTAATGATGTGTCTACTCCGAGGTATGTCTGAGCTCTGGAGGGATCTGGTTTTACCGCTTGCTTACTGTTTACAGAGAAATAATGACTTTTTTTTAGCTAATTTTGTCCACACTGTACAAAGTTCTGCAACTAAAAGTCATAGCACAATATTCCCATTTAAGCCACTTTCTTTCATGTTCGTTTTTCCAAAACTCAATTTCATGTGTTCAGTTGAAAATCAAGACAGAATCAGAAGAATAACGGACAAATCTGTTTCAGTGCAAACAAAACAGGCCCTGAACGACCGATCAAACATATCAAGCACGAACAAAGACAATATTTCACTTGTTTTATGACAACTATTTTATTTACCATGCAGGGAAAATAAAGACACCGGTTTACCCTTCATCTTTGCATTCCTTCTAACCTGAGAAAGTGATTGTAGAAAACACCCCGCCTCGCTTTACCAGCTGAAGACAGACAGAAAAGCAGGTGCGCGGATCCCCCCCCCCCCCCCCCGACACAAATAGTCTGAACCGAAGGCCCCGTCTATCTTTAAACGGAGCTCATGGTGTCACTCTGCCTGTCCCACATGTTCCGTGGAGCTCCAGGAACTCTAAAGGAGAGTGCTGAGTCGTAAATACCTCTGCCTTTAAACTCCCATCATGCCGAGCGAGGGAGGGGGGGGTGGTGAGATCTCTCTTTATGACTCTGTTCTGGCAAAGCGCAGTGGAAAACATTCGGGCGGGTTTACACGGCAGCTAACGATTCACCCTGCAATAAAAATCAAATTAAAATTTAATTTCACGTTTTCTCCGTGCCGATAATTCCTCTCCGGTGTATTTGTGTTAAGTAGGTATTTGTTTTTTCACAGGCAGGAAATGTAAAGCAGGGGGCTTCCCCTGGGGCTGAAATAAAGACAATATTTAACTTAAAACAAAGAAAACCACAAGTTCCTTTCACAACAAACTAAAGAAGTGAGACGATGCTTCTTATAAGCCATAAGACATCCGTGTCCCCTGTCGCAAAGTGGCAGGAAGGAGAGACGGGCCGCAGAGGGTGGCATGGTGCACAGGTCCAGACCTACACGGTCCATCTGCAGCTTGGTTCATTCCATCAGAACCCCGGCCCCCTTCCAGCCCCTTTAGGCTCCGGCCTGTCACGGCAGCCATCTCCATGATCCTCCATCTGCCTGCTTGGACCCAACTCTATGGAACAGTTTGATTTTGTGGGGGACATTGAATGTTCCATGTCTGCTGGACCTGGCTCTGGAGGGCAGTCATCATCCTTTGCCACAGTTGTCATTATCATCACGCTGCTAACAGGACCACACTGCTAACAGGACCACACTGCTAACAGGACCATGCTGCTAACAGGATTATGCTGCTGACAGAGCCACACTACTGGCAGGACCATGCTGCGAACAGGACTATGCAGTGAACAGGACCAAGCTGCTAACAGTACCATGCTGCTAACAAAAACAAATAGCTTACAAGACCACACTGCTAACAGGACCATGCTAATAACTGTACCATGCTGCTAACAGGACCACACTGCTAACAGGACCATGCTGCTAAGAGG